AATCATCACGCTTCATTTCCGTTTGTAGTTTTATTCTTTTTGATCCGTGCCAACTGCATTTTTATTGTATACGATTTCCTCATCATTTTCGCTATTATTATGTTTATTGTTACAGATAATTTCATCAGCGGTTCTCTTATTTTTTATTCTGCTCAATGCTCTTTGATCCGTATAAGGTTTACAGCAAGTTTGCGAGTGATATTGAAAACCAGCTAAAAATTTATCAGCCTATATCAATCTACGTTCTATGGAAATTAGCGGTTCTTGTATTATATCGAATCACAAATGTTCAGATCAATTTATCAAACAGCAAATAATATAAACATACCGTCGCTGCCCAACACCTGAAGTCGTAGAAAAACGTCATCTTGGCGTACAGTAGCAGCCTCTCGTATACATGTACAACCAGCTTCAGTAGTAGTGGTTTTGATATTAACATATTTTTGACAAATTACACACTAATTAATATCAAACAGTACATTTATTACTATTTCTGAATGCCATGACGATCTATTCCAATCAAACCTTAGTTGTCACTAGTCAAGTTTATATTGACAGAATCGAACGGAGAATGCCTTGCCCGAACGAAACAAATGCAAGTTGTAACTTGCAAAATGAAAAACGCAGAGTAAACAAGTGAGTAGCGTTTACTCTACGTGAGAATTTCAAAATAAGTACTTTACAAGTATTTTAACCAGAAAAATGGGTATTTTGTAAAAAATATCATTATTCAATTGATACGCAAAATAAAAAAAATGATATTTTTTTTTGAATGATACCTTCAAAATTCATACACGCATACGCCAAAAATCGCCGATTATTCCAGGGTTTCTAATATAAAATAATATGCGACAAAGTAAGTAATGTGGTATTTTTATATCTGAAAGTGTGACGAGAGCAAGCGTTGCGCTTGTTCTCGTCGGAATTATCCCAAATTCCCCTCTCTCTTGACAAGACACGGTGACCAGCGTTAGGCGCATTTAAGAATGTCTCTAATGCATGGTCTCTGTTTCAGTTGACGGAGATTGCCAAGCAGGCCCGAAGCTGCTACGCTGGTGACAGTGAGTATAGAGATGTTAGAGAGAGAGAGAGAAATAGTTGGGGGCGTGCGTGCCCTACGCAAGATTAGGCAGGCGCGCGTTTTGAACCAATTAGCGCATTGGTCGCGCGCCGCCTAATAAGTAGGTCAAGTGGAGAGAGAAAAGATCGACGAAGAAGCTGTAGATGGCGAGGAAAAACGAGCGACACAGACGGTAGTAAATCGATTGCAGAGTTAGAAGGTTTTCCGAGTCGATCGGAGTAAGACGGTGAACGGCCAGCGGTGAAAAAGTCAGAAGTTCAGCCGAGGACAAAGGACCGAGAAGAAACTGAGAGGAGAAGACGACTTGGTCCTGTATCTATCTGGGACGCTACCTGGGAAGCCGGCAGGAGTTGCCCAGCGACGACCTGCAACACCGTGCGCAGGGCACAGCCATAACTCCCGCTCCTGCATCAAAGGTCAAGTTTGCAAATTAAACTCTCTCTCTTTCTCTCTCTCTATGCAACGACGGCACTGTGCGTAATTTTTAATATTAGGTGGGTAGCAAGGCGTGCACACGCCGGCTACTTGCCCTAATTACGGTCGGGTAATAAATGGCTGAAAAAGAAATCGTCCAGACGATCCCTCGCCGGGCGACTCGCATTGTGTTTTGTATGGATTAGTAAGCACGATTAGTTAGTTAACTTGTTCTCTTTTGTAATAGGTGTTAAAAACATCGTTGTATTTATTAGATTAAGAGTTTATGTGATGCGGCTTATTCTTATGCGATTTGTTAATGTGTGGTATTGCGAAGTTTAAGTGTAGTTTAATTTTTGTTTGATTTAATTAGATTTGTTAAAATGCGAATTTGTTTGTGTGTATAATTTATTAACCATTTTCATTTCTTTACCTCTTCCCCCTTCCCGTCTCAATTGTTATGAGCGAGTGCGCCTCACTTGCCCATCTTTAAATAATGGTTAACGAACGAGCTTTCGTTACAAAAGTTAAATTGAAAAATACTACATCGTATTAAAAAAGTTAAAAATTCGTCCTAAAGTAGGGAATATTTCATATGCGTGGATGGCACATATGCGTGGATCCTATTAGACCTTTTATAGAATACTTCAAAAAACAATGGGCTAATAATTAAAGAAGTTACTAACTTGTCGACAATTCACTCTCATAATTAGTGTATGACAAATTAGAATGGAGACTAGTATAATCTCCGAGAGATGTGTTTCATTGCCATCGATGACGATGACGACTGCTTGGCGGATGCCGCGCACCAACATATCGCCGTGGCGCGAGCGATCGTTAAAACGTCGATAACTTCAATTGTATTCAATATTTTTTCAAAAATCAAAATGAGTATTAATCTAGAAGTAAAATTCTACCGCCATGTGTAATTTTTAAGTGAGTTTTTGACCCGGAACATTCATTTATACTCTTATAAACAAATAGACTATCAAAAAAACAGCGAAAATATTGACATTTTTGGCTTCCTGCTTGTTTGTACATCAATAAAAATGTTTTTTACCACATACAAATATAGGATACACTTTTATCTTTAAAGTAAGACGTCAGCCAATAAAAAATATTCATTAGAAGCTGAGTTATAGATGAATTTGTCCGGGCGCCTCGACGTTGCGCCAACTTTTGCAATTAATTAATAATACCACCGGTTCTAATAACTTTAGCGAGAAACATAAAAAATGAATTTGTTTGTCATAGATTAAGGAACATAACTTTCCTGGTCACATCTTTCCATCTCTTTTTGTTCAAAAGATAAAGCGCTTTAATCATTTAAATTGTTTATAACAAATTATTCAACTGTCAGATCGTAAAACACTATTGATATTCGTGTTCAGCGCGTCAAAATACATTTAAAAAATCTTAGTGTTCCTATATAAATTAAAATGGCCACGGAGATCCCTCTGGCGACTAGACTAATTATAGCCAATGACAGCAATAATCAAAGTAGTGGGTTAGTAGAATTGTTATTCAAGAGGAAACCTAATTCTTACATAGTAACAGCACTTTTAATGAATTTGAGAAAGCGTACCGATATAAGAACAGCGTTCGTAAAAATGTTTTTTTTATAACAAAATATTTTTGTATAATCAATATAAGGGAAAAAAGTTTTTGACAAAATAAATGTGAATTCTTGATTCTTAAAAACTTTTCTCAAAAATTTTATTTCTTCAGTTATCAATAGCAATTATTTGTATTATCATAATCAAACAAATATATATTTATATTTTACTATCACTCTTTTTCTAACTCATTGTCCATTTGAATTAATTATTCTCTCAATTATTATTTCTAAATGTTTGAAAGTAGAGAAATCTATAGCCTATCTATAGCCTAACATATATATTTAATAATCCGAATTATAAAATTTTATAAACACAATATCAAACAAGTTAAATAACCAATTGATAATTATATATCGTCTTTTCTTTCTATAATGTCTCTATAAATTATATTCAGATAATATCTTAGCTAAATTATTTACAAAATTTTGAAAGTAATGACATTCATTGAAAAGTAAATAAAATACCCTGGACTAACTTCGGTTCATCTACTGCAGGAATTTATTCATGAAATTTTTTGAAATGTTACTTATAAACATAACCTCGAAATTATTAGAAATGAATAGGTAAATAATAAAAAATGATAGTTATGTTGCTGAAAGTGAAATTTAAACAATAGAGTTTGCAAAAAATACTGTTTCGAACGAGCCGAAACTCGAAATTGAGTTACAGTATTTTTGTAAATAGACTGCTGCTATGAAGATACTTTACGAAAAGTTTTAAATCGTAGAAAAATATATTAAAAAAAAAGAAAATTAAATTGTCAAGCGCAGTGGATGGTATGATTTATTTAGAAGAAGAAGGAGAAATTAATTCAATAAACTAAATTACAAAGTTATTGAGAGTGACACCCGAATTCCAACTAAATACTCATATACAATTGATTATGACTAATGACATTTGTATATTAGTATTTAGTTAGAGTTTGGGTGTCACTCTCAATAACTTTGTAATTTAGTTTATTGAATCTATAATGGTGGAGATATAAAAATATTTAATTATTCAAGGAGAAATGAAATTGATACACTAACCATTATCTATAGTTAATTAACTAACACCTAAAAATTTGCTACGTTATTAGATTTGAAATTATAATTAATCTATGAATATCAACGTAATTGAAAATTTTTTTGCCAACTCACTTCTATGGATATTAAACACGTCCAATAATAGAACTGTTTTATGTATGCGTTGAATTTTATAATAGTTTTTATTTGATTCAAATGTGAATTTCAATATTAATACAAACGAGAGATGAGCGGCGAAGCGTTGACGACACTAATATAGAGAAAAATTAATTTTATTGATTATCTTGTTTCATAGAAGTGAACATGAACATTTCAAGGTTCAATTAATTATTATTTATTTTTTAATTTTATCAATTGAGTATTTGCTGTTTCCTATAAAATCTGCAGTGAATCAAAGAAGTAATTTCATATTTTCAACTAAATAATGAAAAATCAAACAGCGTTTATTAAATTAATTAAATAGTGATAACTTTAATCATTTTTTCCTGAGTATACCAATCTGGATTCACTTAATTTACATACTGTATAGATTCTGACCAGCTAATGTGCAAACTGTAAAATAAGGACTCTTATTATTCTTACAAATCTATACAGATTTCGATGCCTGGAGTCTTGACTAAATTATATGCATAATATTTTACACGTTTATCTGTTGGTTAGCTTACATTTTTTCGTAAATGATTTCCTATATGATTGTTGCGGAACGAAATCATATAATTGACTTTTACTAACTTTTGATATTTACAATGGTTTTTTACGTCTTTTTTATGTGAGGTAGTTAATTTAGTTATGATTTCAATGTTTCGGTACAGTAATTTAGGCATGCATGCGTTATTATCAATGTGTATTATTATTTTTCAGTAATACAGAAAAACCACTTCTTGGATCATCACAAAAAAATAGTTTGGCACAGATAATCTCACCAATTGAAACTACTAACACGTTGTCTCACGTTGATGGGGATAAAAAACAATCTTTAGGTCACATACAAACTTACAGGTTTGTTGTTTATTGTTTATATTTAAAAGTAATAGATTGTAACGGTATGCGTTTATTATTTAAATAAAAGACCGTTGAAGAAATTTATCGGATTTATTGGTCAGCCGGGTGTCCTCGGCACAGCGCCGTATTATCCGCCTGTACTGGGTTCACCGCTGCCCGGGCCTGTAGCCTGTTGGCTGCTGCTGCTTCTTGTCGGCTGCTATTGCGACTTCGGATGCGCTGCCTGAAAACGGGCGCGAAGCCGCGGGAAACAAAGGCAGAGCCGTGGATTTCTTTCACGGGCGAAGGAGGGGAAAGAGCCGTTAACGGGAATAAATAATGACAGCGTGCGCTAATCTTGAATATCACAAATCGGCCGTTTATTTACGGGAAGCTGACATGATTGCCGAAAGTAGATGCCCGAGAGATTTTACGCTTCTCATTGACGCTCGAATCACCGCGAGAGAGAGAGAGAGAGAGAAGAACAACGACGAGTCCGCGTTTCTAAACTCACACGCTCGCATCCAATGGGGTGGCTTACTTCGCTCGCGAGAAGGTCGGCCTCGGGGACGACGCTGCAGTTGGTGGTTCTTCGGGCTCCTGGACGCTCTCGTTGACCGATCGCCCCGTTCGCCTTTCCACGGTGTCCGGGTGGCGCTGGACGATCTGTCCCCGAAGACTCGCTGTGGTGCGGCGAGCTCTCCTCTCTCTTTTTCTCGGTCACAGCGCGCACTCGCTGGCGCCCCGGGGAAACTCGCAGTGCCTGTCGTCCTAGTCCGCTCCGGGCGCCTCCTCACGAACGCTCCACTATCACCTCGTGAATCTACGCGTCACCCCGGCTTTTCTAATGTCCTTGTCAAGACTGTTGCTCTAATCGCGTGCTCGCGCAAAGAAGACATCCGTCTCCTAGCTTGGCTGAACCAAAAGTGTCCGTACCTTTTTTGCTTATCGCGCGCGCTCTCTTCCCCTCTATCTCTTTCGTTCTTGGGCTATTCTCTGAAGCCCGGTGGCGCTGTGTGTCAACTTGCCATCGGTGGCGACTTTTTAATCCTTAACGAGCACATCCGCCACAGAATATTTAAACACGCAGAATTGTGACGGCGCTCGTTACAAGATGTAATGTAAGTTTGATTTTTACATTTGTGTTTGATAATACTATTAAATACATGTATGTTTATCGTTAAATATACCATTCACATTTAATTCCAATTCAGAAAAATAAATAGTCAGTAAGTCCTCGTCATTACCGTGATAGAGTACCTCCTCTGTATATTATATGTTCTAAAATGGAATCAAACTAAAAATATTGCAATTATTTGTTGCAAAAGTTGAAGTTAAGAAGCAATTGAAAACAAATAAATAGACTCTATTTAAAACAGGTCATTTTGTGAATAATACTATTTTTGACATTTTTATAATAATGATTGCAGAATAGTACCTTATGCACAAAGTGTGCGAAAACCAATGCACGCGGTGCATATACTATTTTTTAAGACGAAGGACGCTATATGGAAGTTTTCATACTATTTTTAGTTTATAGTTCATTCTATATTACATATTAATAATGACATACAATTAATAAAATCGAATATTGCATATTTAATATTATGCATGGAAACAAGCACGGATTATAGCAGACGTTTATTTTTAATAGTATAGCAGGTTGGGTGAAAGGTATGTTTGTAATAATCCATGGCGCGAAATGTTCGATGAAATTTAAATTGTAATATATAAATTAGTAATTTTTTCTAATGAAAAATCTATTAAAATGTTATGCATTATGGACAATTTCAAAGTATTAACATATACATAACGCAAAGTTTATACAATAAATATATATATAGTGTAACGGGGTAAAACCGTTTAATTGTTATGTTCGCGCGATTACACTAAAAAGACACGCGAAATTGTCAATGCTCACTACTATTCCGGGAGAGCACGAGAAAGTATGCGCCAGTCAACCGATAATCATTAATAACTTATACTAAATTGAGTGGAAGCTATGTGAGATGAGAGAATCAATGAAAACACTTGTTAGTAATGTAAATCGGATCTTTTATTATCCCTCAAAATTCACAAAAGGTCGGCCCGCGCGTTTGTTTACATGCACGCTCGCTCGTCGACAACACGCTTTGCCGGTACGCTCGCTGCTCTTTGTTATTAGAGCCGTTACATGCACGCATCGAATGTTAGAATCAAATTATTATTCATATAATCGCGATCGCGAAATCAAGCTGGCCAGCTTACCTTCTACTTGCAGGCGATCGGAGAAAACCACGAGAAGTCGCACAGCACGGAACAGTTTTGGTATTGTTTTGTTCGCGGGTCGCGAATGCGCGCACACACTGGTTTCGCCCTCGATGGCGAAACCTCACACACTCTCTCTCTCTCTCGTTCTGGCCTCTGGCTCGTAACTGGAAGGCTCCTTGGCGGCTGCACTCCTGGATCACTAATTACTGCTGTTTTCGAAGCGTGTAGATGTCAAGGGCACGTGAATTGATGGAACGATAGCGTAAGCGGACGGACACTATGATGGTCGGTGCTTCACTGGTTCAAATTCTGTCGCGCGCGTTCCGTCTGCTCGCGTGCCGAATTCCTTCGTTACCTATTTCGTCCCCTCGGGAGGTGCTGCCCTCACAGACAGCAATTACGTTAAATAATCAGCGCTAATTTGACGTTTACCGTCACAATAGATTATTTTGAAAATCAATATTTACAACCGTAATAAAATAAGTTTTATTTTAAGTATCCATATATTATAAAAATTACAATGTTTACATTACAATTAACGCAGTAGTACATAAAATTTTATCAACTTATAACGAGAAAATGCAGTATAGTATTGTGTACATATAATTATTAATAAAGTTTATCGTGATATTACAATTAAAAAAGTATAATGGCGGATTTTTATTAAATTTGTTATTATTAATAAAATTTGTACAATGCTTCATGTCAACATCAAAAAAGTTTGTAGGAACATCAGAAAGGACATCGTCTTTGTGTAAATTATTTCTTAAAATCACCGCCGATGGATTCGATTTTTTATTAGTGAATTGTACAGGTGTTTGGATTTGTGAAAATACTCTCTCCTTCTCACCAATTCTTTTGCAGGGTAAGTGAGGCACTTTCGCTCAAGGCAATTGAGGGAGAAAAGAGAGGGGAGGTCAATAAATGAATTATACATGGACAAAAATCAAATTAAACTTACAACCTATAATTATTAATAATTATTCACGCTAAACATACGCGCGCATAATATAATCTATAACTATTGACCAACTAACGAAGAAATAGAACAAAATAAACGGTTTAGCATCATCGCGAACAAATGTATCGTGGTCTCTCCTAACTAAACAATTATTAATCACCCACTTATCCTATTTACAAACTTACTTAAAAATTACGCAGAAACCTGTACCGGATGAATTGCCCGGCACGTGAGTGCCTTGACAATTCGCCAGTCGCAACTATCACTAATACAAATTAAACTTAAGCGCGGACCTTTAAATAGCCGGCACGTGAATGCCTGGCTACCTTATTCAATGCGTACCGGTCATCGCATCACCGGAGAGAGAGTATAGAGAGAAAGAGAGATTCAGAAAAGAACAAAGAACCTTGACCTTGTTGCGTTGCTGCCTACTCGGTCGAGAGCTGCAATCGGTGAGGTTGCAATCCCGGAAGAGTTGCTGTGGATGGCATCGTCGCTTTCCAAGGAGAGCTGCAACCGTGGCGAGATCGTTGTTCCGGGGAACAGTAGAAGCTATGGAGGTTGCTATCCCGGAAGGCTGTAATAGCTGACAAGGCTGCTGCCCTCGAGTTGATCTTTCCTGGCTCTCTTCCTTTCTCACTGCCCGGAACTAGAATGGACTCGCGCATTCACTTTTTTTCTCGCGCTCGTCTCGCGGCCGCTCAGCGGCGCTCACTCTTATCCCTTCCTGACCTATTAGTTAGGCGGTACGCGACGCGCCGCTTATCGGTCACGCGTCGCGCGCCTGGCTATCCCTGCATAGGCCTAATGCTCGCTCTCTCTCTCCCTCTCTCTCTTTCTCACTCTCTCCGCGCTCTTCAATTTTCTACGCTCAATTGCGCTGGCCCGTCCTTAGCGCTGAAACAAAAAGGCCAAGTGTTAGGCGCATACTTTAATGCGCTCAAGTTGGCCACCACGCCTTGCCGAGTGGAGAAGGAGGGAGAAACGCAGACGAGAAACCGGCACACGGCCTGCTCTCGTCACAGATTTCATCGTCATCGAAGAAATTATTTGGTATCTCGTAAATTTTATGAATAGTTTCCGTGACGGATGCAACGTTAGCTGCGTCAATACTTGGCGACGCTGGCGTTTTTACTCTTTTAAACGGTATTACGAAATCCGTGTTTTGATACAACGCAGATGACGTGACTGTACTTGGAGCAGAAAAATTTGGTAGTCGCACGTTTGAACTCATATTTTCTTTATTTGATGAAGCCGACGATAATGAAGCAGTATCAGTCGAGTTAGAAGTTGATGGAAAAAGATTTAATTTATTAGTAATCAAGGCGTGGGTCTGTTTTTTACTTAATTCTGATGCGTCTACGTATTGTTCAGCAACCGTTGCCGATCCCCCATACTCCATAACTCATCACTGTATGCATATCCCCTCCACCGTCCACAAGTAAAGTAGCCGAGGTTCTTCTGAACGAATGCTCCGTATATAAGTGTAGATCCAAAGTAGATCTAAGAAATCAGCGATTATTCTCGGCATTTTGGCAATCTTGTTTCTACCTATTGGCTGATTTGTGCACTTTCCCATTTGCATATTTAAGAAAAATCTATCAATTTTCGCATTTCTAGGCCGCATTCACATGTACATCTTGATGATTTGATAGAATTCTTCGTCTATGATAAATGATCGTTTTTTGGGAGTCTTGAATTGTGATATTTTTACAAATAATTCCACGCCATTGTCTGTAATATCTGATATTTTTAACTGTGTAGACTCGCATACCGACAATCCGCCGGAAATTACCATGGCTGTCAG